TCAGATTAGATGCTTTGATTTTGGAAGAAAACTTAATTACATAGAACTGTTTCGCAGTTAACTCCACTCATGAAATTATCAATTTTTTTAAAGGGAAACAGTTCTAAGTGTATAAGGCCAGTAATGATCACACACTATCTTAAATGGTTTTAAGTGCCTGTGAGAAATTGTGTGGTGATATTGAAGGTAGGGCTATAGATGACGGTAAGAAATCCGATAATGTTACTGAAAGTGACGCTTTAGCTGGTTGTAATAAATCCAGGGACGAAGAAGCTTGAAGATATGGTCTCAAAACCCGGCAGTGCCCTGGTAGACGTCCCGGGATGATTCGGGAACAACCAGGGTACATCCGTAACTCTGCCTGCAACGTCCGGGATGATCCGGCAACATCAGGCATTCGACCTGGGATGGAATAAAATAATTAATTAAGATATCACCGGGCTGATCCGGGATGGTGTGGCTTTGCCGGCTTCATCCTTAACCCTTCCGGGAATGACCGGATTACACCAGGGAAGCACTGTAGCTTTGCTGACTCAAACTGGGGATGATCCGGGGTATTTTATAGCCAGTATAGAGCCCCTGTGAATGCCAGCAGAGCCCCGGTGAATGCCGGCAGAGCCCCTGTGAAAGCCGGCAGACGATTGAGCTACAGTTGATCCCTGTAGTGTCCCGGCAAAGCCCGGTTCATTTTAAAAGAAGTACAGCAATTTGCAATGATTGCACTTGTTTGTTATAAAACCCTTCCTATTTCCCTTCTGTCCAGTCTTGCATAAGGATTATTCAGAAATCATCATGAATTACTTATTAAATAGGAGAAAATATCAATTAGAACTATATTATTGAAAATTATGTATCAACGTCATCATTTTTGCAAATTTTAAATCCACTGGGGTTCTACTAGGGCTCTGTCGAGATTGTCTGGGGCTCTGCCTGGGTCAACCGGGGCTCTATCGCCATCATCCAGGAATGACCGGGTAAGCACCGACATGAATCATAGCTTCACCTGGGCTCTGCCTGGATGGTCCGGGCGCATCCTGGGTGTTAGTTAGGAATTACCGTAGTGCTGCCAGGGTAAGTGTGACAGGAACAATAATTTCACCACAGATCATCCCAGTAACTTACCTAGGTGGTCCTGGGCTCTGTCCGGAGTGAGATCGCAACTTTAGATGACAATACGATAAATGATGTTCTTGAAAATTAGACTACAGGTGATCGTGAGATATTTAGAATGGTTAAAAAGGATTTTTTGATGATTATCAGAAATCTGGGTATGATAAGGTAGGAAAGGTTATACACAAAATTACAAGATATTGTGACTTTGATATATTGGGCATTGCAAATGAACTTGGAGCTATGTGCAAGTCCAAGAAACTGAGTTTTGTAAATATAGCTGGTGCTTTATGTGACACTGAAACATTAAGTAACGTGAATGAAAGTGGAGCTATGTGTGTCTCAGAGATATTAAAAAATGTAAATGTAGGTGGAGCTATGGGTGACTTTGATGTATAAACAATGTAAATGCTAATGAAGGTGGCCTTTGGGACTTGGCCTTGAGACATATCATCTCTTTTATGTATTGTTGCTACATGAGGGTGTCTCGTGAATTATGCACATAATTAAAAAAATTGTGCAAGTCATATGTAATGCACAATTTTTAAAACATATTTTCAGTTCAAAAATATTCTGGGACTGTTTGTGAAACTGTTTATTGCAAAGATATTCTTGGCCTTTGAATGAAGTTTCGGACAAATCCAAAAAGTTTTTCAGAGAATATTGTTCACTATTATATGATCTAAAATAGCTGTTAATGTTATCTCATTGGTTCAAACAGTGGTAATCAGAACAAATTATAAAATCATATTCACTGGGTGAAGTATCATATTCACTGGCTGAATTGGATTTTCCCTATCTAAATTAGAAATCAGACTCATATTCTAAATAACCATACTGCATGGGGATGCCAGATGAGTTGCGTCATTTTAGCGCATTTTATTAATGAACAGCGTATTTATTAGAATGGAGCTATGTGCTAAGGATGACCTCATTTAGCCGTTCTTATTACAGTTGTTTAAAAATAAATGCATACACTATTGTAAGAAAATAGTTGAGAAGAAATGAAATGCATTATAATATTATCTTATTGAAGGAAACCATTTTAAATATGAAAGAATATGAATGTTACTGTTTTATTATGAATATTAAAGAATATGACAGAAAATGAAAGAAACCAAGAGCTGTCACAGGAGACAGCGAAGCTCGACTAATCAAATACTTGACACAGTAAGGAAGACGAAAATATGAAAGAAAAATCAATTATGATATAAATATATTTCTGTATCAGCATCAAGAAAGCAGTGAAATGTTCTATATTTTTGCACAACATAATGATCTTGTCAATAAATGTTACTTTAATGGAAAGACAGCAATTTGAAATCTGAAGTCAATCCCTTCAAAAACAAAAATGATTAGAGCATAAAGAATTTAAAGTTTTTAGAAAAAATATAGGTTCAAAGTGGAAATAACTCTTGAAAAAAGAAGCTAGAGTTATGAACCTTGTCATGCATGATGTGAGTAAATTGACAAAGAACAATAATTATTATTAATCTTAAGTCTAGAGTAGATACCATTCATAACAACAAAGAAAATGCTAAAAAAAAATCAATTTGCAAGTGAATTTCAAAAATTAAAAGGGGATAATCCTGGGAATACAGGAGCTTGCGTTTTATATAAGTCTTATCCATATGACAATAAGTTATAGTAAAAAGAAAATAACATTTGTAAACATAAATTCATATTTCAAGGGGGAATAATTCTGGAAGTAGTAACAAAAGAGTTATGTACCATGTCACACAACTTGTGTAATGATTAAGAAATAATATCGGCCTTAGCGGTGTTTATTGGCTATTTAACACCAGTTTGAAGCTTTGATGCATAGGAATTGACCACCAAGCCCGTAGGAACATATATTTGAAGTTTAAAGTTGATACATTTTTTGTACCTTAAGTATTTTACTGCATTAAAACTTTAATCTGAAATCTGGACGCGGATGCCGGGATGAGTAGGACAGCTCTCAATATACTTCGTATAGTTCAGCTAAAAATGATTATCAAATTGGCATTTGTGTTTTTTTTGTTTTTTTAAACAGGGGTAATTAATGTCCATAATGTTCTTTAAAAGATTTGTACACTACCAATTATGACCTTTATTTATCTTTCTAATTTAAACAAAGTCAAACTTAAAATTTCATGATCTTGAAAATGGAGTTAGTAAGAGAATGTCTCACACCTAAAATATGAAATCAAAAAACAAAGTAAATGAGAAACAGTCCTATCTGGCAATTTATACTCCATCTCTTACTGAATAATTAGAAATGACAAAATGTTGCTCAATCTTAAATTAAATAAGAAAAAAAACATGCTTTTGTTCTATCAAAATGTCACTTGGAACCTTTTCGCTTTGAACAAAAAATTCAAAATATAAGAAATTTTAAGTGCGAAACAGTTCTAAGTTACATTTGATTAAATATCTTGTTTGTCAAGTCTTTCCAAGAATTTTTATTATCATTGACATGTTTCTTAAACATTTCTATGTGTAAAATCAAAGTGTTGTGGATTTTTGCTATTTTACAAACATTTGAGACAGTTTTTTGCTTCTCCTGTAAAATTTTGGAAAATGCACTTGGAACCTTTTCGCTTTCACCCCTCGATATAAATGTTTTAATAATAATAATAATAAAACCAGATTCGTTAAATTGTGTTTTACAGATGTTACTCGTTTAACATATTATAGGCCAAGCACTATTTGGTGGGATTGGCAGCTTATTATGTTGGTTCAGTACTTTATACATATTGCCATTTACATCAAATAAATTATGGCCGTTGTTTTTTATATTCACTGTGGGCAACCTTTTGATTCGTATATACATGCTACATGAAAGCGATTAAGCAGCAGTTTGATAAGCGGAAAATGTATGTATCCTAATTTTTCTGCTGAGTAAAACGAGCATTATAAATATATAAATGTAACGTCTTTCATGTTTTATCGATCAAAGCCTTCATATCTAATACAGAGTAATTCTTTAACTAATACTTTTTGCAAAAAGCTGATTATTTTCAGGCATTTAATTGGGTATTTGGCATTTAGCAGTTACGAGTTTACAGTTGGCATTGAGCAGTTAACAGTAAGCATTAAGCAGCTGACAGTAGGCATTAAGCAGTTGTCAGTAAACAGAAGGCTCTTTTTATGGAATTCCGTAGATAACCGACATATGGTCTTCTGTTTTGTCTCTTTTTATTGACATAATTTTCTATGATATATTGTGCAGCAATCGAATGCAGGCTAAGAAAATCTTACCAAGCGCACGATTGTTCTATTCGCAACCAACAGATCAACTTGGAACCAATTAACAGGGGTTTTTATAATTTAAGTCAGTATTAACAAAACAAAGCGTTTCAATGGTTTTAAATAACAGCATAATAAACACTGTAAAAACTTTATTTGAATGTCTTTTCGTCGGACAGGATATAATAACATTTATATTATTTATCTTATTCCATATAAGTGTTCGAGCCTGTGGTGATATTTTATCTTTTGATGACTTTTTATTTCAAAAATGCCCGAACTACAATGCTTAGGAAAGTAACTTTAATCAATGTTTACTCGAACAGACTCAAGGTAATACAAAATTCCATTAAATGCATATCAGGAATTTGCACTGGTAATGCAAACATTTGCAAAATGAGCATTTCATGTAAAACAAAATATTTTTTTCAAACTTATGCAATAAATTCAGTTTCGAGCCTACACTCTTTCCTTATCCTCTACTTTCTAAACTCGTGTGTTAAAAATAAATCACATACGACTTTATTTAAGACCGATTTGGTAACAATCGACTAAAATTACTGCTACACCATCGAAAAGTCAAATGACAATCGCTAATTATGCTTGTGATAATACTTGGAATGACTGACCAAGGTGATCTGGTCAGAACAAAAGCTTACTTGTTGAATTCAGCTAAACGTCCTTGCGCATTAGACACGTACTTTTTAATCACTGTCAAACCTGTTCCGATTTCATCTCCCCCCGAGATTACTTTGCCTGATGTAGACCCAATAATTGTCAATATTTCTTGAATCATGATCACCTGCTCTTGACTCTGTTTCTCGTTCCGCACACGTTCTTCTTTGTCATGTTGTCCACTGTATAATATTGTTAAAGGTATTTTTCTGATCCTCTTAGACATAGTATCATAAGTAATCTAGTTTAATCAGTTAATAACATAATTTTTTGCTCGTGCAAGAAAGTAATAAACGTAAGAAGACATATACCTGTTAATTTGAAAGATAAACAGTGCAATATTAAAGTTCAAAGCAAGAAATTATAACATTTATTAAGATAGAAAATTCAAATATGTTAAGATATATCGGACAGAGAAGTAATTTACCTGACGTCATTAGTTTATTGACGTTGTATCTGACGTCATATGATGCGTTAGCATTTATTCTGATTTGCCGTGTGGGGCATATATGTCCTAGTTGACGTCAAATTCAATATTTCATTACCCTCACCGCCTTGGGTTCGTATCCCGATAGGGTCTTTAGATTCATTATTATGTTTGAACGCTATCCAGCTGGTTTACGGAAGGTCGAAAGTTCTACTCAAGTCCATGTTTATCTCGGAATCTGGATCTTTCCCATATAACTTACCCAATCAAAAACTAGATTATAGAAGGCATGTGTAAATGGTATTTCTAGAGACAGTTTTGCAGCAGACAGGAATACCATATAGTCAAACACTGATTCATTGAACTGTCATGTTGGAATTGATATATATCTTGTTTTTGAGTGCATCTTGCTACAAAATTACACGGTAGGTTATTAGGCACATTTTTGCCATTACAAACATTCATGATAATGTTACCGTGTTGTATTATACTCAATGTATCTAAAATCAGGATATATTTTCTAAATAAAGCATGTTATGGAGTTCAATTGAGCAGTTATTTAACCCTTTACCTCATATATACGCAAAACAACGCACTTTCGACCCCCCCTTTTTTTAGGGCTGAAATAGTAAAAAAATGTCCTATTTGGGTCCCAAACACATGTTTTCGTTTGAGAAATGTTGCTAAAAAAAGTGAGCAGGGGGTTGCCAGAAGGGGGATGTGCCCCTTCTGTTTGGGGGTTTGAAGGGGGCGGAGTCCCCCTCATCGCCAAGAAAATTTTGGACTTGTGAGAGGCTTAAAACGACCCCAGGTCGATCATAAGGTAACGTGTAACCAACGCTGAAAAGCCTTCGACATTATCTCAATCCCTTGAGAAGTTGCAGCACTTTGAAATAAATTTTGATGGAAAAAATCGAGGCAAAACAACAGTTTTTCACCAAAATTAGGTAAAAGACCACATGTTAACATGGAAAAACTAGATTTTTGGTGATTCCAAAGACTTTCATCATTTTTTACTAACCCTTTACCTCATATATACGCGAAACAAATCATAATGTTTGAAATATGCTATGAAATTTTTTTTACCGTACCCACATCATTTTTAACATTTAAACGTTAACTGCTATGAGGGCGTAATTACAATCTAATAAATTCAGGACTCTTTTCAAAGTTTGCCCATTATTTCCTAAAAGAACAAAGGTTGATCATGTTAAATACCTCACCATCAAGTTTTGATTTAATAAGACTTTCTAAATACCAGGTACCATATTTGTTATCAAGCTTTATATACCAATAATATCTATAATAATCATTTCATTAAAATATAATATATTTTAGTATCTGAACAATATAAAATAATGTTTTAAAACACTAAAAACGTTCTTTTCTTTTGGTTTGAAGCCACGACCCTCACGACCCTTTTCATTTGACAGTCATTCAAATAGAGGTAAAGATAAGAAGTATACTACCTGGACATGTGTAATATCATATTGATTGTCAACTTCACCTCAATAGTCTCAAAGTAATGCAAATTTTCATTAAATGTTATTTCTTGTGACTAACGAACAAAAATAAACGATTTGGAATCGAGACTTGTACTGTAAAATCAATAAATTTCGCAAAATGAGCATTTCTTCTTAAAACGATATATTTTTATTAACTTATTAATAAAAGCAAACTGGCTTGTAGAAATCAGTTATATATTACTATATCTAAGACAATAACTACTGCACAACCAAAATGTTGGAAGAGTCATAAACAATGTGTGGTCAGAAAAAAAAACTTACTCGTTGAATTCATCTAGACGTATTTGCGCATCTGAAACGTATTTCTTGATCTCTACCAAAAGATTTCCGATATCATCTCCCCCCGACTTAACTTTGTCTGACGTAGGCCTAATCATTGTCCATATTTCTTTAATCACTTGGTCTTGACTTTGTTTCTCGTTTCGCGCGACATCCTCTTTGTCATGTCCACTGTATAATATTGGCAAGAGGTATATTTGTGATCTTCAAATTATCAAAAATTTAATTGGTCGTTTAATGCATGAACATTCGTTCTTTGAGATATGAAAATGACTAAATAAACGAAGTATTAAACTTTACTATTAAAAAATACTGAATAATAAATAATAACTAATAAAGTTAGTTATGGACCACAATTTGTATATGAGATAGAATATTACTGACTTTCAGTATTACCTTTTAAAATCAAGTTTTCTTTTGTGAAGCTTTAAGCGACTTTCACGGAGAGCTTCGACCTCTTTGCATGCATTTCCTTTTGCTTCTTTAAGAGGTTTTGTATCATTCCATTCATTAATCTCCTCTAGTAAAGAATTAACTTCTTTTTCGATTCTTAAAGCAAGATTGTACAAGATACTATTTAGGTATGCAGATCACTAGGGAAAAAATGAAAAATCCCTTTTCAATGTTTTTTATAAATAGAAAAAAAATTTTGCTTTAAATTTAAAATAATTGGGAAAGATCAAAAAATTTTAAAAATGCGGGCCTATTACGTTTTTGGGAAACCCCAATATCCCCTTTCCCCTTTTTTGAATTTTGTTCCAATGATTTGAAACAAAATTTAAAAAAGCAACGCGTAATATTTTTTGGGGTTCCCATTTCAGCCCCAGGAACAGGTTTTCGATCCCTTTTGCATACGTTTCATAAAAATTTGAAAATTTTTGTAATTTTTGACCTTTAAATAAAAAAATAGTTAACTTTTTTTAAAGTGTAAAACTTAAGCTTTTTTATCTTTTTTTTTTGTCAAGTTTAAAATTTAAACCCTTCCCATCACTCCCTATTTTTTAAATTAATTTTAAACATTTGCAATCTTTTTAAAACAATAACTTACTCATCAAATTTTTCCCCGGGGAAAGGGGGGACCCGGGTACTTTATTTCATCCAAAAAAATTTTTGGAAAATTTCTTTTTTGGCCGGGAAATATCTGCCTTTATATATTTTTGCCCAAATTTTTATCCCCCTTTTTTTTTGGGGGTTTTTTAAAGTTTTTTTTTGTGCCTTTTTTTCTTTTTTTTTTTAGGGGAATAACATTTTTTTTGAAAAAGCAATAAAAAAAGGTTGTTTTATATGATTCGTTTTAATTCTTTGGGAAAGGGTTTTCCAGCGGTAAACCCTGTACTGGAGGGGCCCGGAACCCAATTCGCTGGGGGAGGGTTTTATAGAACCCGTTTTTGTTCCCCCCCAATACAAATGTATAGTGGGTTTTTTAAATTTTAAAATCTCACTTTGGATTATATTCGGGGATTTAAAAAATAAAAAAACCCGGGGCTAATGACTACGAATGGATTTGATATAAGTTTTTGGGGTCCTGAAAATAAGGGTACGATATGCTTTTGGGATAGGGGATGTTAAAAAAATCTGAAAAACTAGAAATGTGTCCATAGGACACGGGTGCCCCCACCGCGCCACTGTTCTGTCAATCTTTTTACTAAGTTAAGGGAAATAACTCTACAAATACTGGATAAATCCACAAGCGAAACCCCAGGTGCAAATCTAAAATATGCTGAGCAACCTGCCCATAAGGTTTAATGACTATGTCAAATCCTTTTTGAGAAACTTGCGACACAAGTTGAAAATTGCAAAAATTTTCTAAGTGAAGGGCAATAACTCTAAAAATACTAAATAAATCCAGACGAAAATACCTGGTGCACAACTGCACATGCTGATCAATATTCCTGTAAAGTTACATGACTCTAGGTCAAATACTTTTTGAGTTACGTGCGACACATGTTGAAAATTGCAAAATTTTACTAAGTAAAGGGCAATAACTCTGAAAATACTAAAAATATCCAGACGAAAATACCCAGGTGCACAACTACACATGCTGATCAACATTCCTGTAAAGTTTCATGACTCTATGTCAAATACTTTTTTAGTTATGTGCGACACAAGTTGAAAATTGCAAAATTTTACTAAGTCAAGGGCAATAACTCTGAAAATACTAAAAATATCCAGACGAAAATACCCAGGTGCACAACTACACATGCTGATCAACATTCCTGTAAAGTTTCATGACTCTAGGTCAAATACTTTTTGAGTTATGTGCGACACAAAAGTGAACGGACGGACGGACGGAAGGACGGACGGAAGGACGGACGGACAGACGGACAAGGGTAAATCTAAATGCCCGCCACTAACGTGGGGGCACAAAAACGAAGCTAAATTGGTATAATTAGATCATGTCATGATTTTTATAGGAATATCACGTGGTTTTTAAACCGCAAAAAAGCATTATTATGTTTCGTGATTGGCCCCAACAATTTTTCAACATATTTAAAATTTTTTAAACTCCCAATGGGAATAAATTTAAAACAAAAACGTTTATGCCTTTTACAGAAAAAATTTGAAATTAATTACTTTAAAACCCCAAAAAAGCACAATTGTCAAAAAGAAACAATAAAATTAATTAACAAAGATAAAGAACATTTTAAATATATCCCCAATTAGGAAATAAAAAAATTACGAAATTTGGGAGTATTTTGTAAAAATACTGAAAGGGCCCCGTTAAAATGCTTTGGAAATTGGTTTTCCCTGGATTCCTTAAAAAAAAATTTGGGAACAAAACTCGTGCATTATTTTTACTATAATAAATCAAGATAATTTGGGTAGGAAACTTTTAAACACTATTTAAAAAGTTTATTTTTTGACGTCTCGGGTTTTATTGACTATTAATCTGACGTAGGGAATAGGGGTTAATAAATTTTTTTTTTAATTTTTTAAAAAAGTTTAATAATGAACTTGTTGTCCTATCTGTTTGTTTAAGGAAAATTTTAAAAAAAGGGGTTTAGAATAGGTCTTTGACTAGCCCGGGGGACTTTAAAAATCGGCAAAAAGTAAAAAAATAAAAGGGTTCAAAAATATGGGCAAATGATATAAAAAATAAATTACCTTTAAACCCTCTTTTTTTTTTTCCAAAATTGTGGAACGATTTGAAGGGAATTTAAATTCTTCCCAAATTAACAGTCGAACCCTATTTCTCCGTCTATAGTTAAACTTCACCCCATACTTTAGCCCCTTTTTGTAACCCAAATTCAACTTCTTTTTTGGGCGCTTACAAAATTATAGTTTAATTTCCAAATCCACAATTTAAACGGTATAAGTGACGGGTTGTCTATCGTTTAAAAACTACCCCTTTGTTTTTTTTTTTAAATTAAAAAAAAATTTTTTAAAAAAATTTGCCCCCTTTTTAAATTTTAAAATCAATGTTTACTTTTTTTTACGTAATTTCTCTTTTTCGGGGCATTTTCTTTTTAAAAATTAAAATGTTGAAAATGAAAAAATTTAAAATTAATTTTTGGGGTATGCCATTAATAATAAAAATTAATAAAAATATTTAATAACGGGTTTATGTTTGCTAACTTTCTGACTGGGGCAAATTTATAACTATTAAACCCAAAGTTCCCTTTTTCCGATAATGGGAAAAAAAAAGATTTAACAGGAAAACAGCTTTTTATTTTTGGCTTTTTCCTTTTTTTTTAAAATAACTAATTTTTAAAAACCTTACGGGTAAAAAAAATTAATTTAAATAACTAAATACTTTCCCTTTTTTAAATTACGAAAAATTGTTCGATTTCCCCTTTAAGGGCTTTTTAACATTGGGGTTTCCCCTTTATTATTGGGGGGGGAATTCCCAACGGGCAAAGGAAAAGGGAAAATTTGGGTTTTCCCTTTTTTAACTCCCTTTTTCCATTTTAAATGTCCCTGCAAACGACCTACTCGAAAGGGTTTTTTACATCGGGTATTTTTACAATTTTTTTAGCTTCATTGATTTTTTGGGACATCTTTCCCTTTCTTTAACTTTCAGTAATTTAAGGGTTTTTTTTTTATTGGCACTTGAAAAACAAAATTGATTTTAAAATTTGGTTTAAAAGGGGGGAAAAATAAAATTTTGCAGGGAACTACAAATTCCTTTTAATATAAATAAAAGGGTTAAAAACTGTTAAATAAAAAAAAGGGGGGTGGTGTAATTATTACATTTAAAAAGACACATGGCGATGGCCAGGAAACCCAGGCTTTAAAGTTTTCCCATTGAGACGGCTTTGTCGCTTCCTAATTTGGGGGGGCCTAATTTCGGGTATTATTTCCGCTTTTGCGTTTTTTGCCCTTTTCCTTTTAAAAATGGTTTTGGGGGGCAAATTTCGGGGCCCATTACCCCATCTTTTTTAAAGGGCACTTTTTAAAAATTATGATCAAGGGATGCTTTAAAATAAAAAGAATTTTAAATATATGTACATTGAAATTGAAAAATTTTTATGGCTTTTAATGTACAGGGGTTTTCAGTGGGGGGCACAAAATTTGAAATTCTAAGGGATATAATATCGTTTTGGATAGATAAAATTTTTTATTTTGCTTTAAGGGGGAAAAATTTAAGTAAATTTTAAAATAATAAATCTTAAAAAAAATTGTTTTTCCCCCCCGGGTTTACTTCTTTTTCATTTTTCAGCTGTTTTTGAAAACAACCCAGAATGGTTTAGGGGCATTTATTTAATTTCCCTCGTGATTTTCCTTCTAGGGTTTTTTCGGTTTTAAGGGAAAAAATTTTTCCTCGCCCATATTTGGTTGTCAGAAATTTGCTGCAGCAACTTATTGAGCCAGTCTTTAACTTCAATTAATCTGTTATAAAAAAAAGTTTTGAAGATTCACAGGACTATTTTACCTAAAATTAATGTAATTATGTCAGTAAAAAAATAACCTGGGCATTTATGACACCGTGTCTTTGGTAAAACGTAATAGCTCGAAAAATGTATGGTAATTGTTAATGCAAGGAGCCAATAAATGTACATGTTTGACTGTGTATTACTTTCATCGAACAACAAAAAAAAGAACTATTATAACAAAAAAAACAGCAAACTCTATCAATATATTATAATAAACGTTATGTTTCTTTCATTGTGAAGCGTATGTTCAATTATGTACATGTATATTAATTATTTATGTTATTAAAGTATAAACTAGTTAGGAATTGTTAAATCGATATTTTAACTTATTAATTCTTTTGATATAAAAACACTTCAAGTTATTATGAATTACTTTGATTTCCACTGTTGTTCTGCCTTTTTTACTGCCTCTTGTGCTTGTTGTTCTTGTTTTTGTTTATCTACCTTTTTGTGAATGCCCTTAGTGTCACTGAAAATGGTATGATGCATGTATGTATTTTCTTAAATTTAGTTTCATAATATCTTAGACATCATTATTTTACATCAAAATAATTACACTATATTCAAAAAGGGCTGGGCCAAAGGTTTTAGCAACATTATCGTGGGCCCTTCCCTGTAAATGTTTAACATCAGTTTCATAAAATCATTATAACCAAATTATGTTTAATATAAAAGGAAATATGCAAATAATAAGTTTCTATACATTTTCATTTTTAAAAATGAGAATAAATCATTAAATATTGAAGAGACAAGAAAAGAAAAGGAAAAAAAAAGAAAAGTTGCTGTATTGTATGACAGTTGTTTGTCAATACCATCCTTAACCATTATATCATCCCCGTACCAATTGTGAGATTGGGGAAGGCAGAACACATTTGTTATTTAAGCAAAAAAAAAAAAATGTCTTTTTTTAAGTAAATAAAAGAGGAAGGGGAAAAAACGTTTCAGGGAATTTTTTCCGAAAAAATTTTAAAATCGTTAAAAAGGTTTTTAGAAAATGTTTAAAATTTTAAAACCCGGGGAAGAGTATTTTTCACTGAGAGGATGAAATTATCTGTTGTTTTTTCTGTTTGTTAAAGTTTGTTTCATGTCATGTAAAATGTCCCTTTTCATATTTTTCTGGGTAAAAGTTTACTAATTTACCATTTTACCAATTCTTAGACCAAGTAAAAATGTTATAAAACGTCTTTATTAAGAGTTTTTTTCGATTTCATTTACACTGTTTGGTTGTTACTTGCAAGGGAACTGTCGTCTTGCAAAGAGTCTTATTACTTATAGGGAATCAGCTATATCGTTTACGAATATCGCAAACGAAAAGAGGCCTAAGGACCGAGCCTTTGGGATGATCACAGTATAAATAAAGAAAAAGAAGTATTAACAAAAACATTTCGATTCCTGTGTATTAGATAATTTTCAAACAAATTTATCAATTTTCCTTCAGTCATAATCTATTCTATTCTCTCTTAAAGCCTTATTTTTGAAAATTTAAACCTTTACTCTTTCAAATATTACAATATATTATACATGTCGATTCCCTGGTATCAAAATACATACAAATTTGGTTATAAATTTCTATTGATTAAATATTGGAATGTCCTTGAAGGAAAACCAATTGGTTTTGAAAAAATAAGTGAATGTTCATTAAAAAAGTAATATATATAAAATTATGTTAAAAGATAATTCCTTCCATAGCTTTTCCAAAAATAGTGATATTGGTCGGTAAATTAGATATTTCATATTCATTTCCTTTCTTATGTAAAGGTATAAACATGAGACAATTTCCAAGTTAGATGGAAAATATTTTAGTTAAAGTTCGATTAAAAAGTTGACACAGAGTTTTTTTTATATTGATTTAAGATGTCTCTTTCAAACATTCTTTGATCAATTTCGTCAGGACCAGAAGCGTCATTAATGGTATTATTATCTAATATATCGATAACTTCTATTTAGTACTTCAAATAGTTAAGTTTAAGTTCAGTGTGTGATTTGTCAACATTTGAAATTAAAACAAAAATAAATCGTTCAATGTATTTGTTTGGTTTTTTTATTATTATTATTACTTTAATGAGGTGGAATATTTCAGGAATCAGAAAAGTTTTCTTTGACGAGCTTTTGTTCCGTTTTCAAATATTTGCGTGAATACTTATTATTAAAATTGTTTAATGAAAAGTGTAAAATGTTGGAAGGAACGTGTTCACCCTTTTTTATTGACCAGTTTTTTTGTTTTTTTTTTGGGAAATTTTTTTCCCAAATCAAAATATGTTATTTAAATTTAATGTTTTTTATGATTTGGGCCCCATTCTTGGTAAAGGGAAGTTTTGGTTTCAAATTTGGGCATTAAAAAAAGGGGTTTCAGATTTATATTTAGGCCTAAAAGAAACCCGAATGATTTTTTGGTTATAAATCCAAAAAAACTTTTCCCTGTTAACTTTAAATTTTTTTATTGCCCATTAAATTGACCTCTTTGGGTTTAAAGGTTTTTTCCGGGCTATCAATCTGGTCAATTTTTGGGGAAATTGTATTTTTGCAAAAAGGGGAAACAGGGTAGTTATAATTTTTTCCATATAAATTTTTTTAAACCTAAAGTTAGAAAATCGAGAAAATTTAAAAAATTATTGATAAATAGATTCAAGAAAAACTTTTAAATTTTTAAAATCGATTTTTTTTTTTTTGGGAAACCCTCAAATATTTTTTGGGGGATGCCCCAAAACTCTACCCAAGGGTTGTGATTTTAAACCCCGGGATTTGCAAAAAGGACAGAAAGTAAAAAAATTTTTAACGGGGGTTTAAAATCAAGATTTGGGGAAATTTTCGAATTTCCGAACCAACAACCTAGCCTAGAAAACCATGGGGAATGAAAGAAACAACAAAAAACATACAAAAGGGGGCGCACCAAATTTACTGGGCGTAACAATTAAAGAAAATTTTTTCCAGGGGCGGGGATAAAATGATTTCTTGGTACTGAAGGGGACCAACGGGAAAAGGGGTTATTGAATTTAAAAAAATCAGGGGGTTTTGTAATTACACATTTCCCGTTTTAAAATTTAAAATTGGGGTTTAATTAAGGCAAGAAGGTTCCGAAATAATCATTTATTCCCGGGTTTGGGGGTTTTTCCAAAAAATTTGGGGGGAATCAAAAAGAATTTTGCCCGGGGGATTATTGTACTCAAAAAATTGTAAAACGCGGGTTTGAAAAAATTTAAAACCCTTTTATACAAGGGGGGTTAAACCCAAATTTTTAACCCAAAGAATTTAAACTTAACCTTAAATTTTAACCTAATGGAAAAAGGGTTTCCAACGTTTATAAAATTTGGGGGGGCGGGATATTTGGGAAAACAAAAGTAAAATTTGAATAAACTTGAAAAAAACCGTCACAAAGTTATTTTTAAAATAATTCAATTGTTTTTAATTTTTTATCTCAAACTATGACATGGGGTTTTGCATCTTTGGGGAGCAAGTTCTAAAACGTTTTTAATTTATCTTAAAAAACGCCCAGGGAAAGGGAAAAACCCCTATAATTAATAAAAAAGGGAATGTTTTTTTGGTTTTAAAAAGGGTTGGAAAAATCAAAAAAACCCCCAAAAGGGGGCCCAAGGAAATTATCCTCCCGGGAAACAAAACCCCCAAAACCCCAAAAATAAAAAATTTATTGTTGTTTTGGGAAGTTTTGCCCCCCCAAAATTTTTTGTCCCCGGAAACCAAAAAATATCAAATTTCGAGAAATTTACCCTTTAAACAAAGGAAAAATTTTCCCTTCTTAGCCACGAAATTTTTTTGGGGGGGGAAAATTTATGAACATTTTTTCCTTACTAATCCCGGACCTGGTTTGTTTTTGGGGGGTCCCCAAAATTTGGGGTTAAAATTTTTAAAAATGAAAACCCTTTGATTTTTTGATTTCAAAAATTCACTAAATTAACTTTTCGTATAAATTAATTAGGGTGTAAGGATTTTTTAAATATCTTTGGGCATTTTCTTAAATAATCAGCTATGATCTCAAACCGCCGTGAATTTCAGTCGATATTGTTTAATTTTAAGAAGTATAAATAATTTGTATCAAAAATAAATGTGATTACCGTTTTGATGAAACCTTTTCAATCAATCTGGAAAAAAAAATCAAAAGACAATTATGTTTAATAATCTATAATTTTAGTAAGACGTGCATCTATATACAATTAGAGTAATGAATGTATGTTTGGAAATTCAATTCATTGTGTCTTTATAAGACAGATCTACTGACTCATTTGTTCTGAGGAGTCAGTTTAACAGAAATAAGGAGTTATGTATAGGTTTAGATAATAATGTCTCCATCTTAAAATGTTGATGATTTCAAAATCAGTTTGTATTTTATATAGGTACAGGTTAACAATGAAATGTTATTCATCTGAAATCAATTATTATAGTCATTTGGATTTTTATTCGTTCAAATACACTTATTCACATAAAAAGCACTAAAACAATTTTGTTTAAACCCAAAATTGAAAAAAAATTAAACGAAATTTAACTTTTCTGCTTTAACAATAGCGGGTTGAAAATTCCTTTCCCCCGGGAGATTTTTTGGGGCGAGCACCTGCTCCATGCATTTCCCGGGGGGTGATGAGGCTCTAAAGGCCTCTATTTTAATCGTGGGAAAGCTTTCTGTAGTTTGGGAAAATTTATTTGTTATTTTTGGGAAAAGAAAACCCCCTTGAAGGGGTGCCCCAATTTTAAATTTTTAAATTTAAATTTTGGCTATACAAAGATTCCCCCAAAAACCATTTAATTTGGGGCCCCGGACTAAAAGAAAGTAAAACCGGGTTTTTTAAAATTTAAAAATTTGGGGGGTAAAAATTTTTAAATATAAAAAAACCCTTTTAAACAAGGGAAATGGTTCATTTTTTTCTCAAAATTTTTTATTTTTTATTTTTGGGTTGGCCCACAGAAAACCCCCAAGTTGCCCAATAAAAAGGGAATAAAAACAATTTTTTGGTTTCGGGGAATTTTTTGGCAACGTTTTAAAAACCCAGGTGGTTTATTTTTTGGCTTCCCTTTTCGCCCAAAAACGCAGGGGTTCAGCGTCTTTTGGGCCCCATAAAACATCAAAAATGCTATCCCACAAATTTTTAATTTTCCCATTTTTAAAGCACATTTTTAACCCATCGAAAGAAAAGAAAAAAAACCCAAAAGCCCAAGTGCAATTGTTTTGAAAAAGGAAACATACAAAGTTTGTTTTTTGACTTGGGAAAATTTTGAAAAATTTATAATAATGTAAGCTGCCCTTTGGAAATTCACTTCTTTTTTAAAGTTTTTTTGAAAATTTCCCTTTAAAAATGCCCAAAAATTTTTTCCCGATTTAAATCCCTTTGGGTTTTTTTTATCAAAGGCCTTTTCATTTTTATACATCTTTCTCAATTTGCTGTTTCAGCTCATTCAGCCACGTTTTTATATCATTGTCACTTCAAAAGAAAAAAAGATAGGTTTTATAAACCTTAAATGTCAATTGATAAAATATTTGTTCACCTGCCATAACATATGATATATCTAATTCTTACTTTACTGTAAAACCACATGACGAAAAATTAACATTATATTTGTTGATATTGCATAAAAAAGAACATGGATTTGACCTTGATACTTTCACAAAAATGGAATCTCTGTTTCCTTTTGGATGATCAACATGATATGTATATTTACCCATTTGAGGCTGCCGTTAATGACTGAACTGATCCACCTTGGTTTCTGAAAATAATCAATAGTTGTTCAGACATAAGCTTAACTTGTAGTGCTATATTATATAAATAACACATTTGTGGGTAACACTTACCCGGAGCGTAGCCGAGAGTAACAGTATTTTTACGAGGGAAGATATTTTAACTGTTACTCATAAACCCATGTGTTATTTAATTCATTACCCCGAACGAAAATACTGTGATTATCTGAAATTGTCAACTAAATCTAACTGTAACAAAATACACCCAAGAGTACTAATAACTAAACTGACTGTCCTTATCTTTTCAGTTTTCTTTTTCTTTTATTCTTTAAGCAAGTGGTGATATCTACTAGCAGAGCTGCATTACTGGCATTGGTATTGCAGTACGTACGGCAGTGATTTTGCAAGTACTGGTACTGATACTGAATTACTCTTACAAAATGTTGCTACTACTGGTACTGATACTGCATTACTGTCTTAAAAAGTGGTACTGCTACTGCATTACCATGCAGTACAAAAATGTTATAAATATTTCTCAAAAGGTGGAGCTGTAAATCCCATGCATTATTTTATTTTTTGTGAAAAAGTAAGTTACCAAATCTATAGATAATTTGCTGCAATAATCCTTTAAATGTTAACATTGTATTCATTATAGTAAGAAGCACCAAAGACTTGCAGTACAATTTAAATTGAGATTAACAGACTCAAAAACTCTTTGCCTTAAAATATCCTTATAATAATATTTTATTACTTTGTATTTACTAGCATAAAAGAGCAAGATAAAAACTAATTTTTTTTGACAGACAGACAGATACCTTTATTGATCATCAGGTTACATGTGTCACATATAACAACATGATGGGAAAATACAAACATACATATTTTACAAAACTGGTGGAAAACAGGGTATTTGATAAACATGTGGATTGAATCAACATTATTATAAGTTAAATAATCTCATAATTATATAGTTATTACCATTGTTTTCCTTACATAAGGGGGAGACTATCAGAAAAATGCTATGCAAAATATAGATATTTCAGGTTCTAATTTTAGAAACAGTGTTTACTACATATGTAGTAAATTAACGGTATGACAGTTTTTATGAATGGGATAAATCCCACGGGAAGCATGATTATTAGCGGGAACATATTGACTACTAAACTTTCATTGGCTACAAGTCCTGTCGTGTGAACAAGGGCAGTGTTACAAAGCTACATGTATTTATATTTATTTACTCGGAATATCTTTCACTGGTGAGTTTTTGTTTTATTTTATTTTTCTATCAATTACAAACTACTAAGTATTTGTTACTTTTAATATGTATGATATTAACCTACAAAGACCTTTTAGTGCGACTTCATTATTTGAGTTCAGTAATTGACTATATTTGATGATATTTGGTCTGGAATAGTAATATGAATCTATATTATTTTCCCTCGATTGTTTAAAACGTTTGCATACGAGGAGAGTATGGAATTGTCACCTAAATCAGAAAAACAATTTAGACATTGCCTATCATTATAATTGACATAGCTATTCCTCCAACGGCCAGTTTCGATGGGAAGTTTATGATTTGCTGTTCTAAATTTCAATAGTTTCAGACCTTGGTTCATTGGTAAAATATTTAGATATTTTTCAAATGTTAGTTCCGTTTTGAAAAGGGCATAATTTTTTGCCCTTTGATGAGTTCTGCAGTTCTGACGACCACTATTGAAAATATTGATTTAATAACGTTTCTTTAATAATTTCTGCTATGCCTTTGCTAGTAATAGATCTCTGTTGCAGCCAAAAGTATGAGTAACCTGTCTTGTTAAAAATAGTGTAAACATGTTTCATCCATTTAAAGGCCTTAAAATCATCTGCGTATAACATTGCTTCATAGCATAACAATGATATTGTATGATCTTTTTGCGTAATGAGTTTATTCCAAAATGTGATCATTCTCGATTTAATTGTTACTTCTATAGGATAGCGACCTAATTCGCCGTAAAGCATATATAATGGGGTACTTTTCTTAGTTTTAGTTATTTTTCGCAAAAAATAGAGTGTATGCGTTCCAAAGTGTTTAAATTTTCAAAGCCGAATATTCCGCAACCGTACGTCAAAATTAGTAGTATAGTGCTGTTAAATAATTTCAATTGAAGGTCAATAGGTATGTCTAAATTGTTTATTCTTTGTAATAATAGATGCATTGCCTTGTTTGCTTGATTTGCAATGTGTACACGTGCCATTACTGGAAAAATACAATCCGAGATATTTATAGCTTTTAACGATTTCTAGTTCATTATTTCCAATGTGAAACGAATAAGTTTGTATTTTTCTGCTTCTGAATATCATTACTTTTGTTTTTTCGGTGTTAATATCTAACTTCCAAAGTTTACAATAGTCATTAAAATCATCTAAGCATTTTTGTAGGGAAATTTTGTCGTTTGCGAATAAAACGGTATCGTCTGCATATAAAAGGACCAAAATGTTAAAATAAAATTGTACCTCCCCTGTAGATATCACTTATATACCCTCATTGTCTTTCGATATTAAAAATTGTTCATTAAGATAGATACTGAATATCAGGGGAGATAAATGGTCTCAAAAGCAGAGTTATCGTTATTTACTGAGACACACGACTTGATGTGTTTATACATGTTAAACATAATCCTAAAAAACTTTCAATTTATTTCATTTTGTATTAATTTTTTCCAAAGTCCTACTCGCCAAAGAGAATCAAACGCCTTCGAAAAATCAACATACGTAACAAAAAGTTTACTTTTACTTTTTTCATTATTTCTAAAAGATAAAATAAAGAAAACATATGATCAGTCGTACTATATTTTGACCTGAAGCCTGCTTGATTTTCGTTTAAGATAAAATGCTCATCAACGTATCGTGTTAGCCTATCGTTAAGAATTGCACTGAAAACTTTTCCTAAGCAACTTAACAGTGTTGTGGGGCGATAATTCGTAGGATCGGACTTACTACCTTTATTTTTAAAAATTGGTTTGATGGTCCCTTGAAGCCATTTATACGGGAGTATACCTGTGTCGAGAATTTTATTGAACAGCTGGACATAAATGGGCGACATTAATTCTTTAGTGCTTTTAAGGTACTCATTAATAATAAGGTCATCTGCCGGCGATTTCCCGTTATTTGTCCTGGATATTATTTTTTCGATTTCTTCCTTAGTTATTCGAGAGTTTAAGGTTTCGTCGTCGTCGGGTAGTGAAAAATCCGATGGTAAGTCATTTGACTGATCATCTTCATTTGATATATATAATCGCCAATATTAAATCGTTACCAATCGATAATGCTGATTTACTTATCTTTACCCATAAAACATATTCACAATTTGTTGTCAAAATTTCTACATAGTTTATAAAGTCAGTATGCACAAAAACACCAATTCAGCCGGATTTCCGTAAATGTGACTGTTCTCTAGGTTTTGAAATGAATTCATAGTTTGGTATAGAAATAATATCAGTAGTGACAAATTTTGTTTCTGTTACACAGAAAAAATCAAACATGTTAATCAAATCAATTACCTCTGTGTATCTTATCCGGGATTTCAATCCACATACATTTAAAGTTCCTATTTTAAGAGCTCTATCTGAACTAGTATTAATGTTCACTTTATACGAATTTGAATTAGTGTTCACTGAACCATTCCATGGTTGTTTCCCCCTTTTGTACTAATTGTCACTGTCTAAGCCCGATCCGCTAAACGTAACGTAATTGGGTTGATTAGATAACAACCCATCTTTTGATGCTGGGTTGTGATGTTTGTCCACTGTAGACGATTTTGCTGCTGAAGTTTTCCCCGAGTGTTTTGAAGAACGACGGGGTTCGATCTCCGCATCGTGCGATGTCATGGGTGGGATGCTACTGCGTATAGAGGCTATTCGTTGCAAAAAATCCAGCCTTTGAAACTTGACAATGCATACTTCGGTTCTACTAAACAGATTAGTAAAAATCTAATTGTCGATCCGAGAGTTACATACTGCACTGGTATTAAGCATTTTAATTATCTCGATTTGATAAAATGAAAGTTGTTAACATGCAACTTAGATAACTTGCAAACTTTATAATGTAAAAATGTAACAACGTATATACTGATAATGAGCATTATAATATGCAAAAACTAAAATTGGTGAAATAACATAAGGGAGTGTTTCCCATATATAATGACACACATCACTATTCGTTGATAACAATGATTGGGTTTTGTAAACCACAGCAATACTCGTACGTCTAGCCTTTTTTTACATTCAGCAAATAGTACTAGAATGCGATACATGGAAGGCACTTTTGGCAACACAAATAAAGAGAACTGAACACTAAGCCTATGCCTTCTTTCTTTAAAGGGCTATGTTGGGTTGTAGAAAAACATATATTTTTGACCAAGTGCAATTCAAAGTTTACTATCGATAAACCGGTTGTATAACTAAAATCTTGTGAAATTGTCCCATTTTAATGTTGAAATAAATATTCAGTGTATCCTAGCAACTCTGCTTACCTCCATTGGGAGGTATTTTGAGTCATAGGATGTGATTTAGCCTTTTATTGTTAAATATATGTAAGATAGCGTAAGTTCAGGTCTTTTATGCATTAGACTGAATCAATAGCAACTCTAAAATCTGTGTATACATGCTGTCATTAGCTGTTACCTAGATTTGCTGTCTATATGATCAAAAGCAGAGAACTATTATTATGTACATGAATTACTACAGAGAATATTTATTAAGTTTTGTAAGTGATGGCTTTCTAAGAGTTAAAATAAACAAGGTATACATAAATTGATAATCAACATACATATACATTTGGACTCATTTAAATTTGACTTATTGAAAAACAAAATGGGAAAAGTGGGAAAATATATGGTAAAACTAAAAAGTTATGTACGAAAGGGTACATACAACTTTGGTTATAATTTTCTATTGTTAAAAGTTTTTTTCTTTTCAAGTCATACGCTAGAATTAAGGTTACTAATATACTAGTAATAGTAAATGCTACTTCTAGGAAAGACAACAGCCAT